AGATAATTGCATTAATGAGAAATTGAACAGGTGTTCCTAATAATCCTTTAGGTGAGTGTATATACAGACTTACTTATGGATGAAACTGCGACGACCAGGAATATAATTCCAGTTATTCCTGATATATAAGCAAGTATTTTCTCTCTTCTTTCTCTGTCTTCTGGATATTTTGTCCAAACCACAACACCAATGACTGAAAGGAGAAAAAAATACAGTTAGCTAACATAAAATTCATTTCAGACAGAGAATAGAAAACAAATGTGTTGAGTGTCCTGTGTTTAAGGTGCTGCTCTGCACAGCCCTGTCAGCTTAAATAAGCCCGGTCAGGTTGAATCCCATGTCAGACACTGGGCAAAGGTACACCTTTGATGGGAGGCCATATACACACAGTGACATGTTATGGGCAATTTACATACACCAATTAACCTGAGAGGGAGACTTTGGGTTGCTGGAGGAAACTGGAGTAGCAGGAGGAAACTAACATGACATGGGGAGCACATGCAGACTGTACAGAGACACAGAGGAGGGGGTCTCAAACCAACAGCCAGGAGGTGTCAGGCAGCAGTGTTGACCAATGAGCCACTATGCTGGCCCATGGATACAGATTAACAGTGAACAAAACAGATACTGCATTATAAAAAATTTTATTATATAAATCATCACACATTTCTGTGTTTAAATAAAAAGTAGAAAATAAATCTTTATGCATAATTCTAGTTCAATATTCCTGAAAATTTATAAACATACTCACTTCGGAATATAACAAAAAAGAGGAACATAAATATGATTCCACCAAACAGTCCTCCGAATTTTGCTTTCTCTGCTGGAGTTGGGGAATATTTAGCTGAGAACTCAATGGCAGAACCTGAAATGAGGTAAGAATAGTCAGTCAACAAGTAATTAATGTGAGACACAAGAAAAAGCAAATGCATTCAGTGGTTCATTTGTGTATCAGATGCTTTTGTCCAAAGTGACGTGTAAGTAAGGATCAGAGAGCAGGATCAGCCTTCGGTTAAGTTCTAACCCATAGAGCCACACAGGTTAGTAAGCAGATTAATAAGGGTCATAAAAAGTCAGTGAGGGTGTTTAGCTGAGATACATTATTCAGCCTAAATCATGCTTCCAAACAGCTATAAAGCCACATGCACAGGGGAACCAAATGAGGCAAACAGCCTGTATGATTCCATCCAGGTAAGTGGATAAGTGTGACCCCAATGAGCACATATGAAGGGAGAGTGATGGGGTGCAGCCAGGCCTTCTGTGAAATTCCAGGGCATGAGGGACACACAGGGATCAGGAGCTGGGCCCCCATTGGCAGGTGAGGGACCAAAACAAGTAACATTCACATCAGGGATGCATTACAGTTACAATGAACCAAACTCCCCCTACACATGTTATACGTTAGTGTACTGTATGAGGAGGGTTAGGATTAGGATATCTATCCGCACTATACATGTTATACGTTAGTGTATGAGGAGGGGTAGGATTAGGATATCCATCCGCACCACACATGTTATACGTTAGTGTATGAGGAGGGTTAGGATTAGGATATCCATCCGCACCATACATGTTATACGTTAGTGTACGAGGAGGGGTAGGATTAGGATATCCATCTGCACCATACGTGTTATACGTTAGTGTACGAGGAGGGGTAGGATTAGGATATCCATCTGCACCATACATGTTATTCGTTAGTGTAACAAAGTACCATTCACCAGCCTTAACAGACTCCCACGCCTTCCACTCAGCAGAAACAAGCTTATCTAGTATATGTTACAAAATCAGTGTAAATTTACCGCCGCTGCATTTGCATGAGTTCTGCATGTGCTCTCCCAGCCAATCATAGTCATTTTCATCCTTGGTGTTGGATCCATAGACAGTGCGGCACATTTGAGAGGAATTGAACAAAAATGAGTGAGGAAGTGAAACTCAAACAAGAGCATTTGTTTTCTGCTGTATGGAAATATTTTGTATTCCATAGAGATACTGAGCAAAAACAAGTGATTTGTTGGCACTGCTTTGTTGCTGTTGGCAAGAAAGTGACAAATAATCACACAGTGTAGAGTGTAGACTATTGACTATTATATTATACCACTTCCAATTGAGCTTGCTGCCCAGAAGAAAGCTCCAACTCCAAGACAAAGCCTTTCACCTTAAAGCTTCACCAAAGATAGAAAATCAAAGGGGCTGCATGCAAAGAACCGCTCCAGACGCCGCTCCTTCATGGATGCCATCGCTTCCTCAGCTCATCACCTCTGCAACCAACTACCAATGACTCCATCACCTCTGCAACCAAGTAAACCAACTTCCATTCATTTTAACTGTCTAATCTGTGCTAGTCAATCTGTTTTACAACTTTGAGGGTGCGTTTTCAAAATCGTGTGCTTGCTTTGCAGAGCAGTATTTCCCCTTTAAGGTTACCCATCTAAATCTGGTAACGGCATTTCCATATTCCATTCTGTTTTGCTTTATTATGTTATGGGTTCTGTTTGATGTTACATGTTATGTCTGTTGTATGTAATTGTAGTGTTAGTTAGAAATAAGTGTGTGCCATTTATACAACACAAATCTCCTTCTCATTGAGTGCTTACAATTAAGTCATTGCCTCTGTGTGAACTGGCTCCTAAGCTCTAAACCTCAAGCTCGCCTGAAAATATCGGAGAGACTCTCTCAACAGCCATGAGAAGAGCTTTGCTATGTATCCACTACCTTACCTGGTGAAGTGTGTTCAGTGGACAATCATTCTAACCCAGGTTACAGAGCGATACTGTAATTAGTGAATCCCATCCAAGTCTCCCATTAACAGACTAACATTGGGCCTAATAATTAATCAATAATCATCATCAAATAACAAATAGTAAAAGAATAATTAATTTCCCTTCACATTGTATGAGATCAAAACTATCTGACCTAATTTTTCCTACAGCTGGTTTGTGGAGCTTCATTACTCATTTTAATCGACAGCCTGGAGTTTTACTGCATATGTTTGTATTTTGATACCTTGCAATGCAGCTCATACACTCTCAGGTCGAACTTAAACGTCTTCACTGCCGTACCCATTTGTATTCAGTATCATACCACCTGTGCCGGTCACTTTGAATTGTCCGACGCCCTCGTTACACCCACCGTTCAGAAACAGTTATTTACGGGCTCTGACGCAGAGATCCTGACAGCATGGACAAACGATCGTGTTTGCTGGCGTGACACTAAAGCCATCTGAGGAATAACTCATGACCATCTCCATCCTCTTCCAAATCTATCTGCCCCATTTTCTCCCGGCCGTGTCGACTTAAATCTTGCCCTTCTGAATGCTCATCCAATAACCAAAAAAACGCATCTCTTATCAACGACCTCATTATCCAGAAGACAGTGGACATGTTTTGTAATTTGGAAACTTGGCAACAACCTGGTGACTATTTACATCTGAACTACAACTGAAGGCTACAACTACCAATAAAACCCTGTTTATATGGAAGAGGGGGTGGGTTGGCTCTCGCTTATCTATCTACTTTTAAAATTACTATAATTTCTTGATGTATCTGCTTTTGAATATATTACTCTGAAGGTTGTTTCCTCCCCCTGTTGCTGTTTATCACCCTCCTAAAACTGCTGCTAACTTCCTGCCAGAATGTAATGAACTCCTCACTCTTATCTCATCTCTCTGCCCTCCATTATTGTTCTTGGTGACTTTAATATCCATGTTGACACTGACTGCTCCTACATATATGAGTTCATCTCAGTATTAGAATGTTTTAATTTGACTCAGCATGTTAACTTTCCAACTCACATTCATGGTCATATTCTTGATCTGCTCTGTTCTAGTGGTTTGAATGATGTTTCAGTGTCTGGTTCAGTCTCTGGTATTTCTGATCATAAGCTTATTGGATGCAGCTTTCACTTTAATACAGTACACCCCCTCCTTCTAAGAAAATCTATGTCACATACCACAATACTACATCTGTCAGTTCTAATCTCTTTGCTGGTTCTCTTCTATCCTCTTCCCTGTCTGACTTACATAAACTCTCTTCTCCTGATACTATGGTTTCCTTCTATAATGATACTATCTCTGTACTGCTTAATGATCCAGCCCCTCTAAAGACTGGGCTGATCCCAGCCACTCGCTCCTGTCCTTGATTCACCCCTGAGCTCAGAATAATGAAGGCTAATTCTATTTTTAGCTGGGTGTTTCAGCTGACATGTTTTTAAAATTAACAATAAACTTTTTTGAATGCTTATAGGTTACTTGTTAAATCAGTGTTTCATACCAAGTCTACTATGACCGTGAATGTTTTGTTTTTTAATGTCTTACAACGTACATAGCTAATCTAATAATAATGAATAGATATGTTATTAAAAGGAGTGCTGTAGTATTTTATTCTAAGTTCTAAGTTACATGAACATATAAAACAAGTAATTCATGATACAGTAATTATCCAGTAGTACGGTTATGGTATTATGCAGGACACCAGTGGTTTTATGACTGGCTAGAAAATGAATTAATTTTATCGGTGGCTATGTGAGCAAATATTTATCTGCAAAGCGCTAGGCAAGTTAGTGCCAAAATTATTTATGTGCGCAAGTGTGAATTTGCACTCGCAGGTTGGTATTTGCAATACAGGTTTTGTACTTGAAAACCATTCTATCTTTGTAAAAAATATTTTTATGAAGATGTTTGGTTTCGCATTTACAAAAAATATTGACGTGTATTTGCAAATTTTTTTTTTTTTTGCGAATGAAAATTGTGTTCAGTGTGAGCAAATTTCTTTTTACGGGTGCAAATTGGAAAGTACACATACAAGTACATATGGCACTATTCTGACTCCATAAAAACCATCCCCTTTCAGACACCTGATAGGTATTTTAAAACCTGATGTGCTGAGAGTGACAAAATCACCTAAAGTCTGTACAGTAATGAACATGTTTGGCATCTTCAAAGATGCACCACAGTGTGCTTAATATTTTACCAGGAGCTGCTGGATCCTGCTTTACTTTAATGATTCATATCCATTAATTACACTTAAACTTACCTGTTAGGACAGCAACCATAATGACGGGAAATGCAATTGTCAGAGTGTGGAGGATAATCTTCTGCCATGAATCTGCAAAATGAAAACAAGTGATAAATATAAATAAAATAAAGATAAAATAACAATGGGTTTTATAATTATATGTTAAATTCAACCCATCATATGTCTTGCAGCTACCTCAAACTATAGGAAAATTATTTAATAATGTCAGACCATTAATAATCATTCATTCCTAAAGGACAAATTAAACTAAAATTCATCATATCTGATCATGAGCTGTTAGATGATCATTTTACACACATTAGCAGCAGAAGATCCTTATTCAAAGTAAAAGCCTCTGTGACCCACATTACAGTATAAGAGCTGGACAGTGCACTGTTACAACCCTGATACCAACAGTAACTGGGATGCAGGAGAACCAGCAATCATATGGAAACACCTCATGGAAAATGTACTGATGGATTGTATTACAAGGCAATGAAAAGTTTTTATGTATATTTGGACAAACAGACATATATTCATTCCTAAATTCTTCTGTTGCTGTGCAAATACATCTAGTTATGCTCCTGCACTCATCCTCAGTGATGTTCCTGGAATCACAGCTCCTGAGGAGGTTCTCACCCTGACACTGCTGCTATAATCCACAATGAGATCTCTGACTACTGGGGACATGATGTTCCATCAAAGGCAGCTGCACCAGCTTGTGTGGAATTGAGCCTTATGCATTTTCCAGGTCAAGCCACAGGACTGACAGATTGCCTTTTAGAGCTTAGATCGGGCCCAAAAAATTAAACCCGACCCTACCCGAGCCCGTGCACCTTGTGTCCGAGCCCGACCCGGTCCGACACATTAACTGTAATTATGAGCCCGAGCCCGATTTAAACCCGACTATTTTTTAATACGTGAGCCGTTGTAACAGACGTTCTCAACTACAATTCTAAGTTGTTTGAACTACAGAAATTAGTTTAGATTTATCTTAATGAAAAATGCAACAAGGACGAAGCATGTAAACTGCATTGTTTGTTTATTCAGAATGGATTTTTGAGACACGTTTAGAAGAAAAGCACGTTTTCACTTATCCAGTTCGCTTGCTGCTGAAACCAGTTTGTGTGCTCGGCATCGAACTTTAAGTAAAGGGTTAAGAAAAAGGTTAAATCCTTCCGTAAGCAGCCAACGAGGTATGTGTTAATTAAGTTTTAGTTAAGTTTGTTGTATTTAGCCATGTAAATGTAAATGCTAACTGAGGTTCGTGTTAACTGTATATGAATTCTCTAAGCTGTCTTTATTGTTATTTATGTTTATATTTCATTTGAATTTCAATGTTTGTTAGCTAATATTGTAAGTAAATGTGCTTGATTTTGTGTTTCCGTATCTGTATTTAGTTCTCACGTCTGCCATGATGGTGATAATAACGAAGCCACTGTCTTTCGAATAAACCGTCGGCTCAGTTAAATGCAAAGGACTCTTGTGCTCGTGTCTTACGGGAGGGAGCTACATTTATAATTATGGCATAGCTCTCCACCCAATTAGGCTAATTAAGTAATGATTTAAAAAAAAAAAAAAACCACACACAAATGCTTGATCATGGCCCCGCACCGGCCCGGCCCGGCCCACGGGTCGGGTCGGGTCGGGTCGGGTCTGGGCTCGGGCTCGGGCAGAGAATCTAAACTCTATTGCCTTTGTTCTCCCAGCCTCCCTGATCAGCTGTGTCACCATTAGTGATGCGCAGATCGGCTCTGACTCCATCTGAATCCGCATGTACACGTAAATCATCCACCCACCACCCACCTGAACAAAATAATTTCTCTGATTCAGAGACCGGCACCCGATCACACATTACCAGTATTCCTCAGTGGGAAACATGTAAGCATGATGATCTCTCTACTTAGCGTTGAATGTAAAATCTTCTTCTCAGTGCTGGCAAATAGGTTGACTACATACATGATCGTAAATAGATATTTGAACACCTCTATCCAAAAGGGAGGGATCACGGGTTTCTCAGGATACATGGAACATTCAGGTGTCCTGAGCCATATGATCCACGAAGCCAGGTTGAAGAAAGGCAACCTGACCGTAGTCTGACTAGACCTGGCGAATGCCTTCGGATCCATTCCCCACGATCTAATTAAAATGGCTTTGAAGCACTACCACATCCCAGACCATATCAAGGGGATGATCTGCACATACTTGGGAGGGATCAAGCTTCGTTTTGAGACCAGAGACTACATCACAAAGTGGCAGCACCTCAAGAAAGGGATTGTCACCGGATGTACAGTCTCGCCCCTCCTGTTTATCATGGGTATTAACCTTATCATTACAGCAGCGGAAAAGGTAACTAGAGGTCCAACTATGGATTCAGGCGCCCGACAACTGTTAATAAGGGGCTTCATGGATGATCTTACAATCACAACATCCTCGCATGTGCTGGTAAGATGGGTTCTAACCAAGCTTGATGAGGTGGCAACCTGGGCCTGGATGACGTTCAAGCCAAGAAAGTCAAGGAGTATGATTATCAGGAAAGGCAACATCACAGACAGGTTTAATCTGCTCCTACAAGGTGAGGTCATTCCATCCATCAAGGATAATTCTATTAAGTATCTGGGGAAGTGGTATGATGAGTCACTGAAGGACAGAAATAACGTCCACAGCACTGAGAAGCAAGTGAAAGGATGGCTGAAGAACATAGAGAAATCCGGACTCCCTGGGAAGTTTAAGGCATGGCTATACCAACATGGCCTGCTACCCAGATTGATGTGGCTGATTTCGGTGTATGAAGTTTCATTAACAGCAGTGGAAGGAGTGGAGCGAAAGATCAACAAGCAATAAGCAGAACAAGGCAGCTGCAACTACCTCTGTCATCCCTCATTGAGGAATTCAGGGTGGCAAAGTGTAGGGTCAACACTAAAAAATAAAGGTGACCGAGCTTTTTCGGTGGTGGCACCAAATTTGTGGAATACTTTACCTGTACACATAAGAACTGCTCAGACTGTTGGAACATTTAAGTCATTGCTTAAGACCCATCTGTATTCTTTAGCTTTTATTTCGAGCTGAGTTGAGATACCGTGACTTTTAATAATTGTTTTTGGTTAGTTTATGTGTGAGTGTCAGATATTGTTAAGCACTTTGGTCAACCACGGTTGTTGTTAAATGTGCTATATAAATTAAATTGAACTGAACTGAACTGAACCATGACCCTCAGGGACTCGAGAGACCATAAGGTCCAGGAAGCAGGGGTAAAGACTTGATCAGGACGGAAGTGGGAGGCCTCTACAGCACTGACCCAAGCAGAAGGATATTCCCAGCTGAAAGACATCATTGGAGCACCCTGCATAAGCAGGCAAGGTCTGGGGATGACCCACTTCCAAAAGTGGGGAAAAGCCAATCCAAGGGAGAGAAGATCCGTGGTCCAGGCAGAAATAAGAAACCTAGAGGAGGAGCGGAGGAAGGCGAGAGTGGTGGAGCTATGTTCCCTGGGAGCCTGGACAAGGTGGGAACTCCCGATGAGGAAGCTGACATGGGCAGACCTATGGAGACTCGAGCCATTCCGGATCTCCTTCTTGCTGAGGGCCGTCTATGACAACTTAAACAACCCCTGTGAACCTTCACAGATGGGGCATGAGAGACGACCCAATGTGCAGGCTCTGCGGGAAAAACGGGACCATGGCACACATCCTGTCAGGATGCAAGATCGCTCTATCCCAAGGCAGATACAGGTGGCGCCACGATAAAGTGTTAGCCGTGCTCGCTGATCTTCTAGAGCAGGCAAGAACCCAGAAATGCCAACCTACGGGCAGGCCACCACCTGCCATCACATTTGTCAAGGAGGGAGCAAAGTCGGCAAGGGCCACTAACATCAGGGCAAGTGTTCTGCAGTCAGCACAAGCGTGGGAGCTAAGGGTAGACCTGAAGAGAAGGCTCCAGTTCCCGGATGTCATTCACACAACCTTATGGCCAGATGCAGTCCGGTTCTCCACTAAAGGGAAAAAGATCATCCTTGTGGAGCTCACTGTACCATGGGAGTAGGGATGTGAAGAAGCATTCGAGAGGAAATCTGAGCGCTATAGAGATCTGGCGCAGGACTGCAGGGACAAAGGATGGCCGATATGGTTGTACCCAATTGAGGTCGGGTGCAGAGGCTTCCCAGCCCAATCAGCCAGGAAGTTGCTGACAGTAGTGGGACTGACAGGAAGTAAGAGGAAGAAGACGGTACGAAGACTGGGGGAGGCGGCAGAGAGAACCTCCTATTGGATATGGAGTAGGAGGAAGGAGGCAAGCTGGCAGCCAGGAGGGAGTGAGTAGTGGCTGGCCACCACTGCTGACCCGCCAGCAGGAGGGTGTTATGGTTAAGGGTCGAAACACCCAATGAGTGCTGGTAACCATCCGACGACACAACCTCCTGGCTAAAGGCTGCAGTCATTATGTAATGACAAAGAAGAGAAGCATCACAAGATGTACGTAGACACTGTTTTTAATTCTCCTTATTTGATTTTCACTGCTTAAGACAAATGGATCCACAATGAGAGTCTAGTCTGCTAATTCATACCTGATGTAAAATGAAGCTTAAAATACATTAACATTTAATATTTTCCTCATTTATCACCGGCAAGCAACCTTTCTGCTATTAGTCAGAATAGTAATGTTTATGAATCTGCCTGCCCCCCGGATATAACTGTGATCCACGCATCACTAGTCACCACGCCCATGTGCTCCAGGCATCCGGCCATTCCTGACATGCCCACTTTCTGGACTGATGTATAAGTGTAACTGAACCTCACAAGAAAGGTGCAAAGCCGGTTAGAAACAGCACTGCTCAGAGGAGCTTCCACAGGCGCAGGAAGAGTTTAGGGCAGTTCTTCTACACGTTATATGGGTGCAATTCGGGCCTGGAGCTGAGTTTGCTCATCCTCTCCTGACTACCTCAGGAACCACTTTCAGCTGCAGGTCTGACGTGTCAAACTGCACAGTTGCCTCAGTCGGCTGTATCAGTGTGCTGCACTCTCCCAAGTCCTCATCTATTGCTGGGTCACTATACATCTGTTTCATATGCTGGTCCCTCTCCTCCAGTGAACATGCCAGCTTGCTGCTATGCTTCTGCCCTAACAGTTCCTTCATGAATTGGAAGGGCTTGGTGATGAATGCAGTGCTTTCAGGCTCTTTCTCTGATGCCACTCTGCCCGACGGAGGACCCTGATCTTCTTGTGTAGGATGTACATCAGCTGAGCCAAACCACTGTGCTCCTCTTCTTTTGCCAGTTTGTATTAGGATCAGAAGGTTTCTATCTCCTGCCTGATACTATGGATCTTCACTGCTCTTTGGTTCTTTACATATGGTCCTTTGGAAGCTCACAGCTGCTCCTCTCCAAACCGCTCTGACACAATGCTGACAATGATCTCTGTCACGGTAAAACTAACTACACTACCCGGCCAAAAAAAAAGTCGCCATTTGAATTTATATCAGCAAATACTCAAGAGCCAATGACTGGATCATTATTACAGCTCAGCAACGTTATGCAGCAATAAAGTCAGCTGAGTACCTGAAACTACTGAATGGCCAGGTTACACCTCCATCCATCATCAATGAATTTTTTTCTTCCCTGTTGCCCTGGGCATATTCCAGGACAAGAATGCCAAGATTCATTGGGTTCGAATTGTCAAAGAATGGTTCAGGAAGCATAAGGAATCATTTTCACGCATGACTTGGTCACCACAGAGTTGTGACCTTAACCCCATTTTAGGTCTTTGGGATGTGCTGAAGGAGGCTTTATGGAGTGGTTCAACTCACTTGTCAATACAGGATCTCAGTGAGAAATTAATGCAAATCTGGATGGAAATAAAGGCTGAGATGTTGCATAAGCTTGTGGAAACAATGCCATGACAAATGTGTGCCATAATCAAAGCTAAAGGTGGTCCAACGAAAAATTCAAATGGCGACTTTTTTTTTGGCCGGGCAGTGTATAAACACCTGTCTTTATTTTACAGTTTTTTTTCCCCAAACAGTGACAACCTCCTTAAATATGAAGTGTAGGAAACAGGATAGGAAACATGGAAATATGTAAACATACCTGTAATTAATTCCCGATATGGAGCTATATTAATCAACACCAGGATACACAGCAGACTGATGACAGTACAAGTAACAGCCTCTTCTGTGGATCCTGGAAAACAGTTAACAGTAAGTTTTATTTATTTAGCAGAGTCAAGCAGCGTCAGAAAATACTGGGAGCAGTTGGGGGATAAACCCCTCTGTCATGTGTTCAAATCCTGTCTCCTCTGTTTTTGTAGATTATGTTCCCTAGTTTTTCATTTGTATCAGTTTTATAGTTCTCGTGTTCCATGACTTATATTCTGTTTTTGTTTTTTTGCTTTGGGTCTGTTTTACCTGCCTTCAACAAAATCAATAAAATCTGTCTCTTCGTAAAGCTTCTTTAAACCATATTTAATGGGCTCACCTTCAATTATACCCCACAGGATGAATGCTGCAGAAACCATGATTGGTGGAACTAAGACATGTGAACAGTGACCCAACAGAGCCTGTCTGCTTGTATCTATAGACAGAAAGTAGAACCAAATTTAACCACATGCTTTTTAACATCAGCTAACAATTCATGCAAAGTTTAATGATCTACAGCCATCATCAGAAGGTCATTCTGCTGCATGCTCACCTACAGACACCCAGTACAGACTATCAGTCTCACCAGATGCAGCTCCTGCATTATTTTAGTATCATTTCAATGAGGACATCAGCTTTGCTTCATTGTTTTGGTGATAAAACTTTCTGAAATAATATATATTCACACATATGTGTTTCTTACCAGAGGCACAGGATCAAAGTATGTTAATGACATCACAGTTAAGCCCTGCAATGGACAGGCACCCTGTGTAGATACAGTCCTGCCTGATGCCCCATGTCTGCTGAGATGCCCTCTACAGGATAAGTGGCTGCAAACATGGATCCACTGATGTCACCAAAATGACTAGAAATGACAGAGCAGATGCTACACTTACCTTCCCTTATTAAATGCCTGACAGATAGAGCACCAGTAAGTAGGACTACAGGTGTGACAGCGATGCACAGCCCCAGAATCAGCCAATGCAGGGAGGAATAACCTAAAATATTCAGAATTACATCCATTAGTAATTTTCTAAAATAGGCTGTTTATCATGCTGCAGCATAATCAACACGTCCACACCATTTAATCTCACAAAGTGGAGCAGAAATTTATGATTAAATCTTTGTCCATAAGTGTGTACATATTAACTGTTCTTATGTCTGAAAACATAAAGATTTAATATATAAGATTTTTCATATTCCCATACTGTATATGATTTGGATATATTTACACAACATGTCACAAAGGGCTGTTTAACTGTGTAACCCAGTGTAGGAATTGAACAGCTCAAATGGGGGTGGTTTTCCACCAATGTTCAGGGGAATTGATTATGAATTAATTAATGATTAATTCATCCACAATTAAATAGGGAATATTAGGTTTGAGTTGTTGTTCCGATATCACAGTCTTTATATTAGTCCCACTTGGTAAAGAGCTGGATGATTTAAGTCCAGAATATGAATGGAATTCATTCGTTGGTATCACTCATCCGTCTAAGATAGCTGCCCGTCCACCGGGTTAGCTTCTCTCTGTAACCTAGCGACTCAGCTCT